GGGAGCGCTGCTGCCGGTGAGCATCTTAGTGGATGTGAAACTGACACGCGGTAAGGGTGGAGATGGAGGATGCAAGTCTGGATGTGAGTGTGAACAAATTGCTGCCCAACAGCAGACCATGAAAGGGACCGGGATGCAGATGCGGGGTGGGTGGAGCCGGGTGGGGGTAGGTTTTCCTTTAAAGAGGAATGTAGTAAAACCTCCAACAGCAGGAGCTATCTTAAATCTTCCCGTGTGGCACATACGGAGGAAAGGACCTGACAGCTGCTGCTTTTTGGTGGCGCTGGGGATGGAGCCCAGGGCTTTGGTGCACACTCGGCAAGCGTTCTGACACTGAGCCTGGAAAAGGGTTTGTGCTTTGCCATTTGGTTATCAGGTTGGTTTCTCCTCACGGCTGTGAGCAGGGACTGGGATGGAGAACAAGAGGGAAGGGCGTCTCGGGGTTAGTGCCAGCAGTAGGCGAGGCCATACATACCACCCAGGTGCAAGTCGATGAGGCCACTGTAATAAGACTCTCCCCAATAGTCTACAAGGAAGTGGTGAAGACAGAGTTATTGGGTAAGACGACCCTGCTGCCACCCCGACCCAACGGCTATCAAACGCACGGCACATTAAAACAGGCAGAAATATCATGAGGGAGCCCAGTGGAGCAGCTGGAAAGCGTGCATGTCTGTAAAGCGAGGCATGCACACACACAGGCCATCTCTGCAGCTCGGGGCATTGGGGGAGGGGAGGCATGAACCAAACACCACTACGGATGGAGAGGCCAGTCAACGTCAGGGAGATTTCTGTTCGCAACACGACTCATCAAGGATGGGACTTGGCTTTGCTAGGAACTCCAACCCTGCCGGAAGGCGACCTTACCCAAGATTTAAAACAGTTTAGGGGCAGACCAGGGGTCTTCTCTTACTTAGTTTCTGAATAGTAAAGGCTCCAAGATAAGGTTTTCAGGATGTGAACGTTAAGGGGGGTGGGGGGGATAAAAGAAAAAAGAAAGGTCCGGAAACCAAGGAACTTGCAAGTGCTCCCATAAGTGGCAAGCATGTGCTCCTTCGCCGAATGGGCTTGAGATGAAGGTCCCTTGTCTTCTGAGGTTTAGGTCCCCCATCTTCGGAGAGCCTTCTCTTTCAAGATAAGAAACGAGCTGGGACACTGGCAGAATTTCAACCCTATCTGCTCCGAGGCTGCTGGCCACAGGCCATCCTGTCCAGCAGTGTGCTGTCTTAACGCGCCTATGGAGCAGGGGGGGGGGCTGGCAGCAAGTAGGTCCTGAGCTAGCAGTTTTTAGGGCCCAGAATCATAAAGAAGCCCAAAGTGCACCAAAATGTCTGCCACCTCACCATCTGGATGCTGACCCAGGCAACCACAACCTTTTCTTTCAAGGATGGATATGTTGGAAAGCTGAGTGTCCTCCAGTGGCTTCCTGGCTCATGTTCAAGGCCAGTCCAGTGGCTCTATGCTTGAGTCAGAGTTCTAGAAACAGAGAGGCTCCCTGCAGATTCCGGGACAAGAAGGCCACAAGTCTCAGCCTCGCCCTAGTCTCCAGGGCTATGGAGCTAATCCGCACAGCCTGTATATTTGGAAGTCTTTGACAAATACAGGTTATCTGACGGCACCTCAGGCCAGATCTCTCCTATGAAGGGCATTTTGGCTAACAGAGAGTGACCCCTTTGACACCAATGGAGGCTTGAAACTACCACATGAGACAGGATGGCAGGCTATGACCAGTTTGTACAGCTCAGGGAGGAAGTGGAGTTGTGCTGCTAGAAGCTGTTGCGTTCCAGGTACATGAGAAGGCCAAGTGGAATGAACGGCCTGAGACGAGAGAAAGGTACCGCCACTGTGCACACCCAGTCTCTAAGACGCTCTCTGCCAGGAAGGGACAAGGTCACTGGGAACTGATACCAGTCCAGCCCCAGGAAGGAAGTGTTAAGTATAAGAAAAGGAAAAGAATGTACTTAGAAATACAGATGCGTCATGTGCACCTTCAGAGACAGTCTCACCTTCCGGTCCAGGGGGCTGTGCAAAGATCTGCCTATTATAGTCAGGGGCTGGACTGGAACAAGGCTATCAAACTTCTGCTGAAGCCTAGGGCTCTTCAAGAGAGGTACCATGGGGTCTCCCAGATACTTGTCCACAGTGACTTCTAACCTTTGAAGGACATAATGTCCACCATGTTCAAGGGCTTCACGTGCCAACTGTTGACACACTGGACACCTCCAGGGAGCCTGCTTTTGAGGGACTCTCAAGTCCAAGCTTCTTCTGCTTCACGTCTAAGAATTTTGAACTTCTCACAAATACATTAGTAAGATGTTAATTCAAGTCCTGCTGGCAATGACAGAGATCATGTGACACTGTCCAGGGATCCTCGAGAAGGGTGTGGCTTAGGAGAGTTGACTTCAGAGCCCACTGTTGGTACAGTCCTTCAGATGGCTCACGTATCATGCCAGGATAGAGTAGTATATTTGGGATTTCTCTTTATATTTGGAAGCTTCTTGGTTATAATTTTTAAGGGTTTATTTTTATTTTATGTGTATGGGTGTTTGGCCTGCATGTATTTGCACCACATGCACGCCTGGTATCTGCAAAAGGTATTGGATCCCCTGGAACTGAAGTTACAGATGGTTGTGAGTAGTCATGGGTGCTGGAAACAAAATCCAGGTCCCCTGCAAGGCCACCAAGTACTGGCCATCTCTCCAGCCCCTATACTTGGGTCAGCTGGTGTATCTGTGAGCATCTGTCATATGTGCAGACACCTGGAGAGTCCCTGGTGAGCTGCTGAAGAGAAAAGGCTCCCATTTAGAGCAACCACATGTCCCTGCTGGGAGGCCCTCAGAGCGGTGCTCAGGCAATGAGGCTTTCGAATGTCTGCAGCTCTCTCTGGGTCATGCACTTTCCAGTTTGTGTGTGAGTGGTTTTTCAATTTCTAATAAACATTTAGAATAATTCTTTTGGATTTTAGGCCTCAACTAGCAATTGTGTACAATGGGCTCTCCTGCCAAAGCGAGTTGAAAACCACTAAATTAGGAGAAAATCAGGGTGTGTGTGTGTGGTGTATGTGTGTGCATGTATATGTGATGTCTGTGGAGTCCAGAAAAGGGAGACAGCTGCCCTGGAGCTGGAGTTACGGACTATTGTGAGCTGCCTGATGTAGATGCTGGAACCCGAACTCTGGTCCTCTGTAGGCACAGTATGTGATCTTACGTGCTGAACCATCACTTGGGTCTCGCCATCAATTTATCACGGTATCATTTTCTGGCTCACTGGTAACAACTGGAGTGATATGCCTTTTACAGAACTGATGAAGTACAGAAACAAACTCCAGCTGCATGAAACCTTAAGCACTTTCCAGAAACCATCAACAAATGGCTATCTCCTTGAGCCTCTGAACCTCGTGGGCGGGAGAGACAGAGCGCTTTTGGCAAAGTCTATGACATGAGCTCATGCACTAGACAGCAATGCCAGCTACTGCTGTGGGACGTAGCTGTCCCTTAGCTGAAGTCAGCTGGAGAAACACTGCAGGTTCCCTTTTGGCCTTTTGTGCACGGAGATAGTAGCGGAGGGGACAGGCCTTTACAGTTGTGTAGCCCGGGATCTCCAGGAGGGCTAACCTGCACCATGGCTCGGGCTGCACTGAGGAGATCAGTCAGAGGAAGTGGGGCAGGGGCAGGCCTGAAGGCTGGGGATGGGGCACAAGCTCACTGGGAAGCCAAGAAAATATGTGGGTGAATCTTTTCTTCACTGCTTGGTTCGGGAGCCAGTGTCCCTTGTCCGGTTGTTCCCAGGCTTCTTATCTTGCTGGATACAAAGTGACTCAGGCTTTTGGACTCCCTTTAGAAGCATGGGCTCCAAGAGTTAGGTCTAGTGTTAGGTGAGGCACAAACTCATCCTTCTCTCTCAGGACACACCTTCACCTGAGGGTCATTACTCCTCTTAGCTGATACTCGTCTTCACCTGAGGGTCATCTGAAGGAAGGGTTGTGTCTGTGCCTGCCCCGACTCTCTACTGGGAACTCCACTTGCAAAATTGGATTCAGGCCCACACCTCGAGGCTAGACCACTGGCCAGTGTTCAGAAAGCCCACAAGGCAATGGCTGGCCCTGTCTGACCTACTAGTTCTTTTGGCTTGCCTGCCCAGGAGGTGTACGAGCTTTCCTGTGTCTAGAAGGAAAAATAAGAGGCCCTGTCCCTTCCTTCTTTGTAGCTTTCCATCATGAGTGCTAGATCCAGAGGCCAGTGGCCACCTGCAGAGAGAATAGGGCCCCCTTCCAGGCCTGGATCTTAAGGAAGCAGAGATCAATCATTCCATGCCTGAAGCTGGGCTGACCTTGAACCCAGAGATGGATCAGCTACCTCATCTTCTGTGTACCCACCTGTATCAAGCCCGGCAGGTTCTGACCACATGGCCGTTGTAACAGCTTTCCATGCTGCAAGAGCTTATCACAAGCACAAGCCTGTCCGAGACTGCTCCTAGTGACCAGCCTTTGGTGGACACAAGCCTGAGCTCACCCAGGGAAACCAGAGTGCAGGGGCAGCCAGAAGCCCCACACGGGAGAGGAGGCAGGCTCTGTGGCTGTGCAGCTCAGGCTAGAGGGAGCCCAGGGAACTGAGGATAGGAGGAGCACTTGGGAGAGCAGGCTGAGGCCTGTTCAGTGCAGTTCTGTGATGGTTCCTTGTGGGACAATCTCCCTCATTCCCTGATATTTTCTTTTAGATAATATGGTAGGGAGAGGAAGAGAAAGGTCAGGGCGTGCCACCAACAGGTGACAGGGCCCAGGATTTTGTTTTGCATGGCAACAGCAAGCTGAGGAACGGGCCAGGGAGCGGGCCTGGGTGTCTGGGCTGCCCGAACATGGTAAACACCAGACCTTGACGATGCCAAGGACTCAGAAAACCCTGATAGAGAAGGAGCTGAATTTCAGAAGAGGTGCCGCCCACCTCAGGAAGAAAGAAGGGCTCTCTCCTTGAGAAGAAGCCCCTCATAGAGGAGGCGGACAGTACCTGCTTCGCCTCGCAGGGCCTTCTCCACCGCGACTCCCCTCTCCTCCAGCTGCCTCTGCTTCTCCTCCACTTGCTCCAGCTGCCGTTGGATGATCTATCGAAAAACAGAACATAAGCTTCCAGACTTTTCTTACCTCTAGCTTCCAGGAGGAAATCAAGCTGCAGGCCCAAGGTGGGAGAGAGATAAGCATTATTAAGACTCTGAACGGGGCATTACAGTCAGTGTGCTGTGCTGGCTGCACACAGCTGGATCCTGGGGCTTATTATCTTTCCCTGGAACAGTTCAAAAGCATTGAAAAATGACTTAATTGAACCTTTACAGCAAGGAGGCTGTAAAAGCACTGGGTGGAGCAATTAGACATCCTGTCCCGATAAGTTAGTAAAGAAGTGTCTAGAACAGTCTAGGACAGTGGTTCTCAACCTTCCTAATGCTGCGACCCCTTAATACAGTTCCTCATGTTGTGGTGACTCCCAACCACACGAACGAAAATTGTTTTCGTTACTGTGTCATAATATACTATAATTTTGCTACTGTCATGAATCATGTAAATACCTGTTTTCTGATGGTTTTAGATGACCCCCAAGAAGAGGTCATGACCCCCAGGCTGAGAACCATTGGACTAGCCTGTGCAGCTTGAGGATGGAGGCTGACAACCAGAGGTCCTTCTGAGCTTCCCTATAAAATCCCAGACTATTCCGAGCAGAGGTCAGGGCCACAAGCTGACCCCTGACACCAGAGCAGAGATCAGGGCCACAGAATGACCCCTGACACCAGAGCAGAGGTCAGGACCACAAGCTGACCCCTGACACCAGAGCAGAGGTCAGGACCACAAGCTGACCCCTGACACTACAGTTACAAGTGAACTTGCTGACTCTACATCCACTCTAGACCAAGGCTTTCAGAAAACTCAAAGCAGGGATCTTTTGTTTTGTAGAGAGTGCCACAGAGTCTGGCCTCTGTAGAGCGTGAAACTCAAGTACTTGGAGGTTGCCATCTTGGAAGCCATGAATGCCCCTCTCTGCTTCTGCCCTGGCTTCTTCACCTTCCTGGCTGTAGATGAGGCCCTCTGGGCGCACAGATGCTACTCCACGCCCACCTGCACGCGGCGTCCCACTGCCAGTGTGTACCTGGGCTCGGTGCAGCCGCTTCAGCTCCTCCTGCTTGGCCTGTCTCCGAGCTGCCCTCTGCACGCGTCGCGTCAGCTTGGCGCTCAGCTCCTCTTCTGTGTAGGTTCTGGGCTAGAGAGGGCGAGAGAGGGCTCCTAAGCCAGCTGCGTGCAGGTGGAGGCTGTCTGGCTGGCAAGCTGGTGAGGGTACGAGGAGGACTGTCCCCTACATGGGAGCTGCTGCCTGGCAGCCAGCTGGGCATGGCGGGCGCAGGCGCCTCTGCTGAGGCTAGGCCAGAGACCTCAATGTGAGACATTTACCTCTGTGGCAGGGACAAGAGGTTTAATTGAGGGTGAGTGTTAGAAGAGTAAAACTCAGACAGACACACTCCTTTGGCACTGAGGTCATAACTGCCACAAAAGCGTGTCTGGGTTTTTTATTTGTTTATTTTTGCTTATCTTCCCCCCCCCCCCCCCCAAGACAGCATTTATCTGTGTAGTCCTGGCTGTCCTGGAATTCATGATGTAGACCAGGCTGGCCTTGAACTCACAAAGAACCTCCTGTCTCTGCCTCCTGAGTGCTGGGACCATAAGGCATGTGCCACCACCACCTAGCATGTCTGTGTTTTTTTTTTTTTTTAAGGCATTGTGGTAGTTTAAAAAAACAAAACAAAACAAAATAAAAAAACAAAAACCACAGTAAAATGTTTCCCTAGGCCTCATATTTTGAGGCATACAGGAAAAAGAAAATGTTTGGAAAGTGAGGATTCTTCTTCCGTCTTCTTTGAGATTCCTTCCTCTAGGCGGGAGGGGTCATAACCGGTTTTAGTAGCTAACCTGTGAAGGAGAGACGGCATGCATGCCTCCATTTTATATCTTGGTGAACTCAGACTAACAGAGGCTGAGAAAGGGACAGTGGCGGCGACTGCTTGGGTGTGCAGAGACAACCACTGTGGTGGAACGCAGGGGTAGAAATGACCTGGCAGGGTAGCTGGGGTGGTGCCTGCGGGCTTGCAGGAGGCAACTGGGCAAGTCCCATGCTGATACGGATGGATGTGCTAGCCACCTGTACACACGGGCCACCACACTCCCAAGCATTCGGTGATGGGACACGCTCTGGGCAGCCACCGAAAAGCACCAAGTGGGGGACTGTCCTCTTTTGTGAGACCCTATTTATTTCCTCTAAAAAAAACCCAAAAAACAAAAAACAAAACCAAAAACCCCAAGAGACTTTTTTGACCATGAAGGAGATGTAGGAGATATCTCCATTCAACCTGGGTCCAGACTCATCAGCTCTCCTCAAGGAGCTCAAATGACAGCAGTAGATCAAGTGAACGGGCAGAAGGATCGCCACAGCATCCCAGTGCCCTAAGGGTTCAGAGTGGAGGTGGTGACCACCCCTTGCTGGGCTACCCAGACCCACAGGGGCAGCTCTGCCCCCACCCTTGGTGACATGCAATCCAGCCAAGGGGAGAGTGACCGTCTCCTCCTCTTTCTGTGACTGTGACAGCTGCATGCACGTATGACAGTTAGTGAGGACGTGGCTGCAGGGCCCAGCAGGGCTGTCCAAGTGGTTAATCACAGACAGGCATGCAACGAGGACCAGCCAGCGGGAATGAGACACTACCTTTGATGAATAGGCTCTCCTGAATGCCAAGGCGTGTGGTACATAAATCGACTTTTAAGGGGATGGCAACGGAAAACAAAACAGAACAGTAATGATAATGATGATTAAAAATGAAAATGGAATACAGAAACGGAACAAAATCAGTTAGAGGCTTAAACAAACACAAGACTTAATCACACGATTCTGCACAAGATGGAACCCAGGGGCGCAGACCCTATCAGCTGAGTTTCATCAAACTCCACCGCTCAATAGAGCGGGGGTTCACTCTTCTATTTACAAAGCAGCATACCCTGAATCTTGTGTCTGTTCCTTGTTGAACCCCAGTTTGTTGAACGGTGTGGTGACTGGGCCCCCTTCACCCATAACCGCCCCTTCCTTCATGTTCCTGCCATTGAACACTCAGCATAGAATGGCAGCTACAGGCGGGAAATGGGCACTGACCCTTACACACTCTTTCGACAGGTTCTTGAGCCTGGCAGTGTTCTCGAGCAGGGCCAGACAGGTCACAGTGTGAGACTCAGCTGTCCTGGAACTAGCCAAACTTGCTAATTCAGAATTATACCCAGCGAAGGGAACCAAAGTGGCATAAACCACTGTGACTCAGAGAAAGTACCAGTGTTCAGGTAGCCATGGAAACCTCTTCACTTCATACACTGCTCTTGCCCAGTCTCCTTTGCTTTTGTGGTCTTCTCATGGGTCGTATGAAGCACCTACAGGGCCCCCGTGGACCCAGGCATGCAGGCAATTGGAATTTGCTGGTGTGCAGAACAGAGGGACGCTGAGGGTGGCACAGTGGGGACCCACACAGGATGTCATGTGCATGCTAGCTGGGAAATGGATTTGCTGCTTTTAGCTCTGCGCACAGGCATCCTCTCCCCCACAGAGTGGAAGTGAAGTCCTCATGCAGAACAAGGCAGTTTAAACAGGAAAAGTACAGCTGAGGTCCCCAGTGGCCTGTGCAGACACACTTCAAGAGCGCTGCTGACACGTGTATCTGTCTGCAGGTGCCGCTAATGCCAGCAGCCACAGCAGCCTCTTTTTATTAATTTACCCACTGCTGGGACTGGTACCAACTTGGCAGTGGCAGCGACAGGGAGGTGAATAGTGACATACTTGGGTAAACGGGGGAGAGTGAGGCTGAGAGTGTGGCGAGTTGGCTGCTGCAGGGGTACACAGCAGGGCACGGGGCTGGTAGAGGGCTGGGCAGGCCCTGTGAGCCTCAGTGACAGAGAAGTAGCTGGCCAGGCAGCACTTACGAGTCAGAGGGAAGCAAAGGAAAGAGGCTAACGAGAGGCTGACAAGGTTATCTCTTGCTGGCAGGGCTTTGGGTGGCTAGAGAAAGCTGGATTCGGCTGGGAATGTCAATCTGTTAGTTATGTACTTGTTTTGCAAGCATGAAGACCTTAATGTAGGGTTTGAACCATAAACCCTACAATAACGAAAACTCGGCTTGATGGAGTGTATTTGTAATCTTAGAGCTGGGGAGGTGGAGGCAGGTGGATCCCATCTCTCAGGACTGTCTGTACAGACAGACATCCAGTCTAGACTAAATGGCGACCTCTGTCATACATGCACACATAAAAGGCGACAGACACTGGAGGAATGACACTCAAGGCTACCCTCTAGCTTTTCACATGCATGTTACATACATGTGCTTGCACACAGGTGAAGACAAACATACAAATCCTGAATAATTTATTTTTGTATAACAGACATTTAAGGAAAAACAAGGTCTTGGTTTTATGTGTTTGTGCATCAGTATGGAAACCACACCCACGCATGACTCAGGGCCTGGGGCTGTGAAACAGAAGAGGACCAGCTTCCACTGCATTCTACACACTACATACTACATACACTGTGGCTGGAGGCTTCCTTTTCCAGGCAAGTGATAGCCAATTTTCACTCTTGGTTCCCCGATCCTGACACTTCTCATTGTGAAGAATTTCAAACCCAGAAACACTGAAGGAGGAAGCCACGTTGCTGGAACACCCTTCACCTCAATTCCCCGATGGTGGGACTGTAGCAAGTGTCAGGGTGTGACCTTTACACACCTGTCTTTAGACACCAGAGACCCAGGCCCTAGAAGTTTGGCATGCATTTCCTCCTCAGAAGAGACACAGCTTCTCAATAATTACCGTAGTGCCACCTGCTAGGAACTTGACATCAGTTTGATGACGGATGACATTTAAAAAAAATACATATTACGCTTGCCATTCACCATCAAATGACCGACAGTTCCAAAGTGTCCTTACGATTTTATGGCTGTTTTGCTCCGGCTTGTTCTCCACTGTAGGTTCTGTATGTGTTCCCCCACCTACCTTTGTTCATTAGACGGGATCTTGCTATGTATCTCTGGGCAGCCCAGAACTCACTAGGTAGCCCAAACTGGTCTTGAATTTGTGCAGTCCTGCCTCGGCCTCCTGAGTGCTAGGGTTGCATGAAATCGCCATGCCCCGTGGGTTCCATATTTTCAGAACTACCGTGCCCTGCCCTCACTCAGTGAGATGCAACATCATCCTAAGAGCCATGTTTGCCACTGCCCAGGCCCTGCTTGTCCTCAGCATTCCCTATGTGCCCACTAGAGAATGACCTTGTCCCTGTGGAGCACACCTGGTACATAAGGTGTCCAAGGCATTGCTGTTCTAGGAATCTGAATGGCGGTGCTCACTTGTTCACATAACTATGGTAATGAGCCCCTGGGCTCTTCATACCTGTGGTCATTGGGGGCCTATACCAAGATGATGGATTTGGCATAGTCAGTGGGGCATCCAGCACACCCCCACTATGGCAAGATGTCACAGTGGCAATCAGAGATGGAAGATCTGGCCAATGTGACACATACTGTCTCAACATGAGCACACTCATCATGGAGGCCAAGGGGACTTTGGGTCACAATCTCTTCTGCCCAGGTTCCTTCAGGTCTCTAAGATAGTATCTGCCCCCAGTGTTGGGATGAGTTGTGAAACTCATGTGCACACCCAAACACCATCCTTGGTTCAGCCCCACTGCCACTGCCTGGAAGACCTCAGTGGGCATACCCAGGAGCAACACGTTGGACTGAGCCCCCATGGAGAGCACACAACTCCCGGTACTACATTCAGACTCCTGGTGCAAGCAATGAGGCCTGGTTGCAGGAGACTGAGAAGGAAGACATGTCTGTGCTTCTTGGTGACTAGAAGAGTAGAGAATGAGGTATCGTCATGTCCAGGGAGATAAAACAGAAGGCGATGATGAAAATGCAGATAGGGGAATGAGTACCAATCAACTGACTTTTCCTAGTCTGCTGGATAATAATCCAGAGGGAGTGAGACAGGCTGGAGGATGGACCTGTAACAGGGCGATACCATCTCAACAAACAGACACATATGGGGTGCAGAGCTACCTCAGTTTGCCCTGGCTGCTCTAAAGTTCAAGGCTCTTGACAGAGGGGACAGCATAACAGTCCAAGTCTTGAGAAATCACATCAAAAAGGTACGTGAGGGGGTGGCCACTGGTAGGTGCTAATGCTCCAGTGGATGACCCAGCACCAATGCTTTCAATCCGTGGTGCTTCAGGGTCAGTTCTTAAAACAGAAAAATCCTTCTATTTAACAAATACACCAGGCAGTCAGCTTGGCCAGGTCTAGTCCTAGGGATTACTGAGGAAGCCATCTGGTCTACCTCCCATCCATGCCTGGTGCCCAGTTCATACTTGCATGACCCCAAGTAGTACCTCAGCTCTTCTCCCATTGTCTGGCCCTGGAAGACACTGCTCACAGTGTAACGCCAGGCACCTAACCAACAGAGTACCCTGACTTCCTCAGACTGAGGCAATATCCCCAGCTGCTTATTTCAAAGGCCCAAGAGACCACTCTGTGGCATTTGCTGTTGGCTGGCACAGCACTCCAATGTCTATCTGCTAGGAGACCAGAGAAGACATTGGCTCTGCACCCCAATGGTCTGCTTCTCTACCAGAGACTAAATTGACATTTTGTCACCAGTTCTCTGAAGTCCTTCAGGGACTTGGCCCACCTACCTCTCGCTTGGACTTCTGGGAAGACCTCTCAAGGATGTCATCGCTGGACAGGTCTGAGTCCTCTGAGAAACTCAGCTGACGCCGGAGCTGCAGCTCTGAAGGGTGAAAAGAGGCTAAGTGAAGACAGCAGCCAGCACCTCATGCTGCAGGGAAGCCAGCCTTAGGCGGTTCTCTATTTAAGAATCCCCTCCTACACAAGGAGACACGGGCTTGTCCCCAAAGGTGATGGGCCAACACCAAACAGCATTCTAGACACCTGTTCAAGACCCCTTAGCAAGACTTTTCTCCGTCCCACTCAAAATCAGGCCCATGTTTGGGGTCATGCAACCTCAGGAAGGATACCAACAGGAATCTACCCATCTGGTTTCAAGTTGGCATTAACATTATTTCATGCAGTGGATCAGGCTGAGACGGGAACAGCTTGCTCTCCTTTCTAAGAAGCCTTGCAGGAGTGGCATAGGGAAGTGGACCTTCGGTGAACTGAATGACTGCGAAGGGACTCCCCACATCTCTCCTGTGAGTTCCCTCGGCCACGCGTACCTGCTCTCACAATCGGAGATGCCCTGTGCTGGCCGGAGTCCACCGTGGCACCACTGGACGGGGTACTGGAGCAGGACTTCTCATCACTCTTTCTCTTTTTGTCCTTTTTGTACCCGGAGAAGACCGACTTCCACAGGGACTTGGGCTTAGCAGCCACTTCCTCTGGGAGGCCCAGGCTGGGTTTCTCTGGGAGTCGGCCTTCCCCTTTGGGTTTCTTCTCTTTCTTGTTCCTGCGGGGGGAGAAGAGGGACGACCTCTTTTTGCTCTTCCCACTGGAACCCTCAGAGGAGGTGACAGAGCCATCAGGGCCTCCTGAGTCTGATGGAGGAGAGAAGATCTCCTCACTAGTAGCCTCATGCTTCAGAGTGGGTTCCTGGGAACCTCGGAAGCCTGAGCGCTTGGTGGACTCGGGCCCTAGTTCCTTGCCCTGAGATGGAGTTATGCGGGACCTGGAGGCTGCCAGCTCCATGGCCTGCATCCTGCTCAGCTGCTTGGCCATGGCATCTCGAAGTGCCTGGCTCTTCACAGACTTCTCCCGGGCTCGCATGCGCTCCTCAGCCAGCTCCTTGGCTTCTGCAGAGACCAGAGGCAGCCCCCTTTTCTGCGGTTGTGCATCACGATCCAGGGGAGGGAGCCGCCCATTCTCCTTGGCCAGGGGCTTCTCTGACCGGGACCAGCAGGAGGGGGGTGTGAAGAACTTCTCCTGCAGACTGGAGTCCTCGGTCTTGTCATCATAAGTGTCCTCCACATCATCAGCAAAGGGGATCTCATCCACACTCTCCACGAAGGACTTCCGGACCTCCTCCCTGGGGGGCTGGGTTGGCTCCCGTGGGGGCCGCATGAATGTGGCAGGAGGAGGAGGAGGGATAACCGAGGCCTCCCTGCGCTCAAAAGTGTGATGGGGCTTCCTTCGCAGGGTTGCAGGCTCCTCATTGGGAGGTGGGGGTGGGGGTGGGCTAGAAGGCGGAGTGAGCATGGTAGAGTCCGAGGTGTTGAAGCTCTGGCTGCCCAAGGTCTTCATGTTGGAGGAGCTGCCATGGAGGCCTAGGCCCGAGCTGCTGGAGAGGTCCCTTCGCTCCTCCTGGTTGCTCCTCAGTTCCCTTTCAGAGGGCGACTTTGGGGTCAGCAGTGAGGGCTGGTCACCAGCTGACTTTGGCAGGCCTAACCTTTTAGGAACAGATGGAGGTTTCAGAAGGCAGAGGCCCTCTTCCTGAGGGGACTTGTCAACCGAGTAGGACTTTAGGGATATTGGCTTAAAGGCGGGTGAGGGGAGGCTGGGCTCTGACCCCTTGTTCCGGTCCACAGGAGTGAGGCCCAGGCTGCGGCGGATCTCGGCGCTCTTCATCCAGAACTCCTCCACCAGGTCACTCCGCTTCAGGGCCTCCTCCACAGCCAGAGGGCCACTGAGTCTGTCTTTGGGGTCTCCTTGGCTCTTCACAGGGAGTGGGGTCAAGGGGGTGGATGTTTTAGCTGGAACCGGCTGGAAGCGTATGGGGGACTCGGAGGGTGACGGGATGGAAGCATCTGAGGAAGGTTGAGGCTGGGAACAGATGGGGAGCTGGGTTGAGGGCGGTGGGGCAGGGGCCAGTGGAGACTCTGGCTGTAAGCGGGTAGGTGAGGTAGGTGTCCTGGCTTCTGGCAGGGCCACAGGCTGTGATCGGATGGGCGAGTGCACAATCTTCTGATCTGTGGGGGCTTCAGCTTTGGGCTTTTCTCTGGGGAGCAGAGGTGCAGGAAAGAGGGGCTCCTCGGGGGACTTCGCCTTGGTGGTGACAGAGGTAAGTGGGGACTGGGCCCCCTACACAGAAAGAAGAGACAGTGAAATCAGCACCTTCCCTCAGGGAGCATTCTCTCTCAAGGGGCCTACACTGGTTGAAGCAAATCAAAGTCCTGTCCATCCTTTCGGTTATTACTCAAAGGGTTGCAGAGAGGGCGGACTCATTTTCTGCTCCATTTATTAATGTTTCAAATCTCTCCACTTAGCTGGGGGGGGGGCTGAGCTTTCAGGAATGGCTCATCTCATGCACATCCTGGGTTCTTAGTCCACTCACGTGAACACTGCCAAGGGCACTAATGAATTTGGCTTTCATCACAACCTACAATACCTCGAGCTCTGGGGTCCCCGAGGGATAACGTGGGGCTAATGTATGAAAGGATTTAAAGTCATTACTTAGCACAGTCCTCCTCTTTGGCCACACTGTCCCTCTGAGGAACCATGGAGACGCACACAGACCCTTAGAATACCCACCCCAGGGCTGCTCACTTCTCAGGTCAATTACTGGACTGCGCCATGTTGCCTGGAGCCCCAGAGACCAAGGCCTGGCTTTGATTCCTTCCAAGTCCGCCCTGCAAGTGGTGCTTCCCAGACTAAGACCCTCAGACAGTGACATGGCACATTCCTGGTCACTCTCTAAGGTGGTTCTGGTGATCTCAAGGCATGGTTTTCATTTAAATAGTTATATGTTTATTTTAACATAAGGAAAAAACATACCTTTTATAAACTATAGATGCATACATATCAACTTAAAAATAAAAAAAAAAGAGTCCTTGCCCATCCACAAGGACTGAGGCAGCACCTGAACCTGCATGTCATCAACAGCTGTACACAGCACAAGATAGGAAACTTTTAGAATTTCACAAAGTTAGGTGGCTATAGGGCTACTTCCCCTCTCTTTGTGGAGCGTACACCATGGGGTCGTGTCTCCTGAAGGTCTCAAGGTCCCACTGACAACCCTGTCCCCAGCCCTACTTACCTCTGCCTCAGGGCTGTGGGTTGGGGTGAGCAGAATGGCTTGTTTCTGAGGTGACTGGCTAGGGCTGGAGACTCGGGAAGGACCTGGAAAGGAGGGACACGGAGGTTTACGATAGGAGTTAAGTCCCTTCTGCTCTAGATATACTAGGAGTAAGGAACAGCCAGATCCACAGAGGGTCTCACACTACAGCCAGCCCCTCGCTGAGGAAGGAGAGCAGGGACTTGGAAAAGGTTAACTTGTACTGTGTCCTTGGGTCTACCCTTAGGCTATTCTAAAAACAAACAAAAAACCAAACGGAGGGACTCAAGGAGGGTGCTGTTGCACCGTGTGCTCCTGAGTGGCACTGTGGTCATTATGTGTGGTGGCTATGATATGGGCCTTGAGCTTTGTGATGTCTTTATTCTTGTGCTCTCACACAACCCAACGAAAGGTTAGAGACCTGTGGCCCCAGACAGGCATGATTAGGGTCCTAGCCACCCGTAAGGCTAGGCATGACAAGCTCTATTCTGAAGGCCTCACTGGTATTATCAGCATGCCCTGCGACATTCTGGAAGTCTTTCCTCCTGCCCCCTACCTCTCTCCTCTTGCTTTGGTGTATCAGGAGGCTTCTCTTCCTCGTTCTCTGACACCCTCAGCTCCAGCTCGGCTTTCGCCTTGGCCTGGCACTGTAAGCGAAGTTCCGTCTCGGCGTCGGAAGGAATGTCATCAGACCAGTGTTGATCTGGGGGAGGTAGGTGTGATGCAAAGTTTTACACATTTGAGCTCTGGCTGTGGGCCTTTTCTGTGTCCTGTTTCCTTAGAGAAGTCTCAACAGGATCATTCACCGTGGCGTGAGGTCTAACCTGGGTGCGCAGTCCCTGCAAACTGAGCCTCTTACCAGAGATAAATCCAACACAAGGCATCCATCTTGCCTTCTGAGTGTGGGGTTTGTGGAGACTTGTGGTGTTTTTGGTGTGTGTGTGTCTGTCTGTCTGTCTATCCTTACCTGTTTGAAGGCCAGAGATTGACAATGGTTCTTCCCATTGCTCTTTACCTCAGCTTTTTGAGACAAGATCACCCTGAACCTGGAGCTTGCCTTTCAGCTTAACTGGCCAGCCAGGCTCCACCCTCCTCGGTGCCCGGCCGGCATTCACACGGGTGTTAGGTAGCTGAACTCACGCAGTCCCGCCTGTGCAGCAGGCACTTTGCCCACCAAGCCAGCTCCCCATCCCATTTGATTACTTGTACAACACAGTGACCACGACACAAGAGGCTGTGACAGAGGCAAACCACCACCAAAACCCTTTTGGGGGTGCCCGTGGACTCATTTCCCTGTTTCTTTCTCCAGTCCCAGAGTTACCCCTACCCCAGCTGTCCCCCTCAACTTTTGCTATCTTTTGTGAGTTCCACCCAATCTGGTTCTGTTCCCCATGTGTAACAGGAGGTCACAGAAGTGCAGAAGGAAGGCTGGGCCCCATACCATCCAGCTCGGCACCAGTGTCCCCAGGGTCCCCATCCTCTGCAGCTTCCCCTTCAGTCTCCGCTGGCTCCGAGTCCACGTCCTCTTCTAGGTCATTCTCATCCAGAGGGGCTGTAAAGCAGAGACATTCACGGACGGGAAGCAAAGGACAGACAGACAAATAACTGTGCAGGGTGCAGAAGGTAGTGATGCACAGGCCACGGGGAGAAGGGAGGCCCCGGACAGATATGGAGTGCGCTCTATAAGCAGCGTGGGTACCATGGCTATTTCTCCACTCTAGTAGGGCCATGTGGAGGGAGAAGCACAGTTTCTGGCCTGGAGGTATCACCTCTTCCACCAGAGGCTGCTGCCGGAGATCCTCCAGTCAGTCACAATCAAGGGATGCTGTGGGGCCATCGGCAACTCTTAGCAGGACTTTATATAACAGGCCCAGTGCTGGCTACTTCATGTGCCATGAGGTAGTCACTCCTCATCCTGAGGCAGCCGGAGGGGCTGTTCCTCACGGTCACCTTTGGGTGACAAAGCTTAGGTCTGAGGGTCAAGCGACTCACAGTGGGCTCTGATGTTCAGCTCCATGGAGAGACTGATGCCTTATCCAGAGACAACTGAGAATTTGCTAACGCAAGAGGGTGGACCTGAAGGGATATGTCAAGCTCCCTTTCTGGACTCAAGAATGGCTCTTTAGGGCCACAGAATAAAGTAAGGCATTCATACACTTCATCCACTCTGAGGCAGACGGACCCTGAGCTGTACGGCACCTGGGACTCGCCTGGGCCTGCAGAGGCTCTGCCTGGGGATGCTGTCAGCCTGAGGGCAATGCTTTTGATTCACAAGGGGAAGGCATCAAAGCACATCTGGACTGTCTCAAAGCTGAGGGGAAAGGGGAGAGGCCAGGCCAACCTACTGCTCTGCTCCCAGTCAGCACGGGCCACTGAGCTCAGGTGCTGACAAAACCCGTGAAAGAGGCTCCCTTGGGGAGGGGATCCTGAGGATAGGGTTGGGGCTGGGAGTAGGAAGCAGCACTGTGAAGATTCTGGGAATGCTATATTTCTTGATGTAGAGGGAGGCAGTTCTGTGAGTTTTGATTTAATTCTCTACACTGCACAATTTTTTGTATACTTATTTTTAGCACACAATCCATAAAATGATGATAATTCAAATCTATGAAAACCTTTTTATGGTTTTTTTTTTTTCCTGAGAACTGAACCCAGGGCCTTGTGCTTTGCCCAAGTGTTCTACCACTAAGCTGAGTCCCCAACCCCTTGTTTGGTTTTTTTTAAGACAAGGTCTCACTACATAGCTCTGGCTGGCTTGGAACTTGCTATGTAGACCAAGCTGGCCTTGAACTCAGAGATCTGCCTACTTATGTCTCCTGAGTGCCAGGATTAAAGGCATGTGCCACCATGCCCAGATGAACTTTTTCAAAGTTGAAACTGGAGAACTATGGCAAACACGCTGGGGAATGGCAGACAGCGTGGGGTTTAGGAAGTGGCAGCAGCTGAACAGTTAGCTTCAGCACCTGCTCTTTCTGAGACACCAGAGCCATCCAGGGAGGGGGCAACGCCAAGGCACTCTCGTACGCTAACAACATTCGCTGTGTTAAATACTGGGGAAAAACCACTCAAGTCGTCATGTTGCTTTGGGACGCTCACGAACATGTTCACCAGAGAATGTGTGACTGGGACGTTGGGGACACGGACACCCACTGAACAACACCTGGGTCCTGCTTTAAAACTAGGCTTTGTACTCGGCTGGCGAGACCATCGCTGCATCTGCCATGCTGGGGAACAAGAGGTTGCTGGGAACAGAATCTGGGCCCACTGCAGACAGCCTTTGTGAACAACGTGCTTGCTCGAGTGCCTGGCACTGAGGTGGTAACCACAGTCTCTCTGGCAAGAAAGCTGGAAGCAAACACGAAGGAGACCACTCCTTGGTTCCCCCGGCTGGCCCAGCCTCGGCCAGCCTGGCCTGGTCTCTTGGTCCTTCCCAGTGTGCCTGAGAAACACCTGCTGTAGAGTTGGAAGGGTGGGGATCCCACACGCCTCGAATTCCTCGGAAGAAAAGGCGGTCACACAGATCAACAAGCAAACACTCAGAGCTTTGGCGCAGCAGCAGCAGCGGATGTGTGCGGAGACGCGGCTAAGAGCGATGGAACCGAGGGATGGAATTCTGGTTAAGATGGAGCGCTGTGCTGAAAGCTGCCACACAAGTGAGGAGCCACACACTACGGAAGCTGGGAGTGGCCATTTATCTCAGCTGCCTGCTAGGACATCCTTTCTCCTTAGTCTCGCTCTTCCTTCCTCTGCCTCAAAGAATGATAATTCGGGGTTAGCCATGCTAGACTCCAAGACCTCTCTCACCCGTGGACTCTCGCGCCAAAATGTCTACTTCAGCTGCGTGTGAGGGCAAGGACGATAAAGGTCCACAAGCATCGTCCCTACTGGTCCTGGAAGTGACTGCTAGGACACGGGTTCCCAACCGTGTGTGTGGTGTGTGTGTGTGTGTGTGTGTGTGTGTGTGTGTGCGTGCGCGTGCGTGTGCTGTCTCCTTTTTGGGGGGTTCCTGGGAAGAAGCCCGTGTCTAGGCAGGACTAGACACCCTGTATGGGACGGGCTGTCTGTCCCACCCCAGACGCCAGACACCCTCTCCTTGAGAAACAGGTTTCTAGGTCGACAAAGGCAGACAACGGACTCCTCAGGTCACCTCTGGCCTGCGTAGTGAGATGCTGTAGTTTAGTCTGGGGACCCAGCTCAGGTGCCACCGGGCAGTGCCTCACAGAGCTCAGCATCGGCTGTGTCCACCAGTCCTCGCCTCTCCCCTGAGGCAAACTTTCCAGGAATTCCTGTTCTGACTGTTCCTCTGACGTGTCGGAACGCTACCCGACTTCAACCAACACCCACTGCTACCCAGCTGCATTCTATAGGCACAGAACTTCATAAAAAGCTTCTTTCACAAAAAAAAAAGAAAGAAAGAAAGAAAAAGAAAGCCAGGTGGTGACAGTTTACGCCTTAATCCCAACACTCGGGAAGCAGAGGCAGGTGGATCTCTGAGTTTGAGGCCAGCCTGGTCTATAGAGTGAGTTCCAGGACAGTCAGGACTACACAGAGAAACCCTGTCTCAAAAAAATAAAAACAAAAACAAAAAACAAAAACTGGGCTGGAGAGATGGTTCAGTGGTTAAGAGCACGCCTACTCCTTCAGAGGTCCTGAGTTCAATTCCCAGCAACCACATGATGGCTCACAACCATCTATAATGAGATCTGGTGCCCTCTTCTATCTGATGTTCTCTTCTGTCATGGTGGCATACATATAGATAGAGCACTCATATGTATAAATAAATAAATATTTTAAAAACAAAACAAAAAACAAAAAAACAAAAAAAAATCCAAAAACTAACCAAACAAAAAAGGCTTCCTGACAGGCTGTGGTGGCACACACCTTTAATCCCAGCACTAGGGAGGCAGAGGAAGATGGATCTCTGTGAGTTCGAGGCCAGCCTGGTCTACAAAGGAAGTTCCAGGACAGCTAGGGCCGTGGCACAGAGAAACCCTGTCTCGAAAAACAAAACAAAACAAAAGCTTCCTTTCACTTTGGCCTTCATATCCAACAGCTAACGGTAACTCTTAAAAGCGAGGCTCCGCCCTATCTCCACTGCTGGTCTCCAGCCTGCCTGGGATGAGGATGCACTTCTGGTCCATGCAGATGGGCTGTCTGACTAGGCATGCACGAGCCCCGCCCACTGGCTCTGCCCTCGCATGCAGCAGCGACAAGAGCTGAGTCCTAGAGTTAAGATATGCCAGCGGAGCCGCCTAGAGAAAGAGGTTATGATGAACGGGGTGCGGGGGGTCACATATCACCAGACTACCTCCGGAGACAGTCTCCAGCCAGGCCTGGACTGCTGCGCGGCGTACGGAGGGAAGGCCGGTCACTGAATTTAAAAGAGAGTATAAATGCAGAGTTAAACACTGGTAAGTTCTCAGCAGAGAGAGCTGGAGTCAGTCCTAAAATTCAAAACAGAGGATGAGGAACCAAGACATCGTAAGACAGGGCCACCCGGCACTGAGCAGCATGTGTGTGTGTGTGTCGATGCTAGCCTGTGACAGGTATTTGGGACAAGGAGAGAAGGCAGCTCTGACCAGGACTGCTGAGTTGTCTTTGTCTCCGTCTTGTGGTTCATCTTGGTGTCCTAGAGAACAAAAACATCACACGAAGGCCTAATGTTCCTGCGGACTGGAAATGATCTTCTACAGACTCAGAGTTTTACAGGACAGGCAGCCCTGGGTGGCACCACTTGGCGCCGCCGCCAAGGGTCCCTACATGGAAGACAGACAGTCAAAGAGAATGACATATAGCCACAGCACATCTAGATGGGTTCTGTTTCCTTTTTTACTGCTATTCCTTAGAAGAAGCCAAAAGATGGACATGGTGGTACCAGTTCTGGAGGCTGAGGCAGGAGGATCTTGAATTCAAGGCCAGCCTGGCTAGCTTAGTGAGACTGCCTTAAAAAAAATAAGAAAAAGAAAAAAGACAGAAAGAAGGGGGTAGGGGGTGGAGAGCATGGTGGTGCTCAGCTTTAATCCCACTACTTAGAAGGCAGAAAAGGGTGGATCCTTGCGAATCTAAAGCCAGCCTGGTTTACACAGCAAGTTCCAGGCCAGCCAGGGGTACACAGTAAGACCCTGTTCAAACCATCAAACAAGGAAGAAGCCATAATAAAATATACTTTCACCTTAGTGGGAAACAGACCGTGTCACGTCAAACCTGGAGTTGACAATGACACCAGGACACCAGAGGCCCCTGGGGTGCCCCTCTCCTTACTTTCGCTTCTAAATAGGCTCCCTTCTCTGGTCCTGCCATGCACTCTGCTGACACACTCGCCCTGCTGAGAGACGCAGGAGACAGCAAGTTCTAGGGTCTTCTGAGCCAGGCCCACTTTCCTACTCTGCATGAGCAGAGACAGAGTTGGCTACCTCCTAACGCACAGAGAACTTTATATATCGTTGAATGAGAGTCAAGGACAGGGGTCCCCCAGCAGACGGGGCCTCTGCATGTGCGGGAGGGTCTGGGAATGGGTGCTTAGGATGCACACTGGGCTATGGGCTCAAAGCAGTTACCTCTAGAAGTGGAGGACTCGGAGGTCGGGAGCATCCTCTCCTCCGCCTCCCTCTCATGGATGTGTGTCCAGTGCACATCGGCCTGGATCGCCAAGGGATCTGCTGCGGTAAGGATCTGCTGCAGCCTGCTGCTCCCGGCTAGGGCGCCAGGTCCCCAGGAAAGAGGGCACAGGGGGGACAGAAGGGAAAGGCAACAGGGACAGGAGGGAGAGGACGAGACACCACAGGAAGGAAACAAAGAATTACAGTGTTTGCCGGGACTAGTTTGAGTCAGAAAGAGGTAAAAATCAAGAATGCCTGTGCACAAACACACACACACAAGCACGTGCGTGCACACACACAGGGGCACACGCTCACACTTTCTAGTCATTGGTTTCATTTTTCATTTAGTCATTTTGAGCTTCACATCACTTCTGAGTTTAGTGAGGATCCACACACTCCACCTCCAAATGCAGAAGGAATTTTTCCTTTCCATAATAAAACGAATCCGAGGCCCACAATGCCCAGGGTGGGACAGGACCGAAGACCCTCACTGTGGAGGACCATCACTGCAGGGGCCCAAGGACCTGGCCTTTAGCTGGCACATCTGTCTATCCCAGGTGGCTGAGGACGGTGCCACTCTGCCAGGAGCCAGCCAACTCACCGGGACTTTAGTTCTCACCCTCTGCAGTAAAGCAGATGCCCGAGAGGACACGCCCTCTGGCCAGAGACCACATGGCCATGTGCTGGCGCTGTGGCGGGGGCACTGACAGGGGGCAGGCGGTCAGCATTTGAGGGTGGGGACGGCAGCTAGGGATGAAGCAGAGATCTGTCCTGTGTGTCCTGTGAAGTCCTGAACTCCAGCATTCAGGCAGGAGTGAGGCCACTACCCCGCCCTACTGTGGGGGAAGCCCCTCCTTTCTTACAAACTCCACCCGAAGCCCTTCTGGCCCCTCTGGGCACAGATCTGCCTCTCCGCTCACTCCTCACTCGCCAGGGCTCCCGCATATGCTCTTACTGGCAGTGCCCGTGGAGAGTGCACATGCAGCCCCTGCCCCGCAGGACCTCTCATTAGTGTTTGGATCATGCCACACAGCAGGGTTAAGATAAAGGGACAGCCAGTAACTAAGGAGCGCGGGGGTGGGCGCTGAGGAGGGGAGGACAAGCTAGTCAGGCAGTAAGAGCAGGTGCCACTAATCTGAAGGACGCTGGGGCTTCTGCCAGAAGCCAGTTTCCACCTGTGAGTATATGCTCCCCCACCCCGACACCCCTAATTGGATACCGCCTGTCACCACCGCGACAGCTCCGTAACGAAGTCGCGAAGGTGTGACTCTTACTGGTCTCTAGAGACTCAGCCCACCCCAACGACAGTCTGCCCAGATGGTGCTGGCAAGGGCTGAATCATGGCAAATTCACCAACAGCTCGGTTGTGTCAGGACCAGGGAGGGTGAGACACAGAGAAAAAGTTTGGTCCTTTCTTTGGCTTCTAAGCAACAGGGAAGAGTTACGCCTTTTCTCTGAGCACGGTTCTGCCTTCTGCCAGCATATGCGGCCCTGTGTTGTGTGTGTTTTGTGTGTTGTGTGTGGTGGGGTGGGGGTGGGGAGGCATCAGTAGCGCGGAGATCCTGGGGTGAGACTGAAGAGCAATGGTTGGGCAACAAGGTTTTACGGATAATGGGAACTCAGAGCAAAAGCTCCAGGGATTGCTGGTGGGGCCCCATTCCATAAACACTGTTGCTGGGAATCTGTTGATTCACGCGCTATCCTGTGCAGGCTGCGTCAGCAAAGGTGCCCAGCTGGGTATGCTCAAAGCCTCTGCGAGCAGCTTTCTAAAATGACCTTTCCATGTGGGACCTGCTCTTGGAGGCACATTTTAGATGGCTGCACGGGAGCTGGGGTAGAGATGGGCAGGGGGCAAAGCGGGTACCTTCACGTGTACCCCTTTCTTCTTCCTTTGAGAGATGCTGGAGCCACTGGCCTTGCAGGAGTTCTCTGTCCCAGGGGCAATACTCCCCTTCTACAGCAGGGGGAGCCAGACACCCACAGACAGCACCAAGAATCCCACAGGGGGACAAGTGGAGGAGGGAATGGAGGGAGGAAAGAAAACAGAGAGCAGAGTTATCTATCCTAGCTGCTTGTGAGAGTGTCCTGCCCCCTGACCACACAGGCATCCAGGTGTGCTGTCCCAAAGAGGCAAGGCAAGCCGGGGACAAAGAAACATCCAAGGGCTGGGCTGAACAAACTGTGAACTTCCCAGCCTGGAAAGTATAGTCTTCACAAAAGAAAGGCGGGCCAATTTTCCCAGAGTGGTGTGGGGGCTAAAAGTAGGTAGTCATCGTCACATACAGATAATGGCATCTCAAGTGATTCAAACGGAGTGTCTTTCCCTGTGGCAGCTGTGAAGGGGATGCGCTCACTCTGATGAGCATGAGCTCACGGAAACTCTGGGCCGGCATGGTGAGGCAGACATGACGGCACAGAACTTCCATGCTCTGGCTAGTCCAGTCTCTTTCTGGCACATTCCTCCTTCATGTCTCATGAAATTGAGTGAGTCTGCCTAGATTCCACTCTGGCCTTCAGAGGAGTAGGTGCGGGAGGAAGAGAGATGATGCTTTCTAGGGAAGATGCCTGAGCATCACCAAGTGTACTGATTCTGAGCCCACCAGGATGGTCCTGGCCAGGGAGCGCAGAATCCTAGGACAAGCAGGGCCAACTAGGAGGTGACATTGCCACCGAGAGCTGATTAATTCTCTGTCAGGAATAACTCGGAAGCATGGCTGGAAGAACACGTGCTTGTCCCTCCCTTTGGCTCTGCGTCCCCAGGGAAGTGAGCATGGCTCTCCTTGGGGAGTCTACCAGTCCTGGTTCCTTCCTAACCATCCACAGGCCTTCTGCAGCCAGGGAAAGAGAGACGGTATCAACACAGCCAAGTCCCTTATGTCTTAAGGTCACAGCCAGACAGGGGATGAACAGAAACATCTCAAGTCCAATGCAAGAGGAGCCTGAGAAGCAACTGGAATGGCTGGAGACTCAAAACCTGAACACATGCTTCAGGCCCCAAAGGTTACTGACTATGTGGCTGGGGCGGGTCTAGTGAGCACCCAAGACAGCAGCACCCGCTATCCAGCACCCTGGGCGACTCCTCACAGGAGTCTTTGTCTTACTCAAATAATGTTCTCTACATGGAACTGAAGGGGGATTAGAGAGACAAAAAGTGAAAAATGGAAGCAATCTAACTTGGACACAGTCCTCAGATGAAGATGAGCCTGCCTGCCTTCCACTTCCAACTAAAAATACGAATGTAGACAAGGGACAGATTTCTCAGTTTGCCAGACATTGCAACCTACCCAAGGTCTGGAAAGAGTGAGGGCCAGAAAACCCCAGGTCCTGGGGCGGCATCCATGACACCTCTTACACTCACACCAGAAACACAGGCGAAGGGGTGGGAGGTGGGATGGGGTCAGGACTAGAGGAGGCGTTCCTGACCTTCACTTGACTCCTCCTCTTCCTCTTCATCATATTCTTCTTCCTCCTCCTCTTCCTCCTCCTCCTCTTCCTCAGGCTCGTAGTTCTTGGAGGCCTCCAGCTCCTCTTCACTCCTCCCCTTCAGAAGGGCATGAATCCTTACTGCCTCCTTCCAGGGAACCCCGCCCAGGTCAGAGGTGGGGAGCTGGTCGTCTTCGTCATCCTCCTCTTCCTCCTCCTCCATCTCTGACTCGGAACTGCTGAGAGGAAGAAACCACAGCCTGAGTGAAGGAATGACAGCATCGTGGAGAAGGAAGGCCCAAAGCCACCGTCACGGTAGCAGTTCCCAACAAGGCAAGGGCAGGAAGCAGGCCAGACTTGGTACCCTGCCCCAGCCAGGGAAGGGACAGCGAGGAATGCACTAACAGGGGCAGGACGACAGACACATATGTGCAACACCGATGCAGACCCACCCAAGGGGAAACATGGCCTGTGGGGCACAGCGGCTACTCAGGCACACCAAAAAAAAAAAAAAAAAAAAAATGGGGAGAAGATCCTTGCTTGCCATTGTTCGGCTGGAGGAACTCAATTAGACTACGCAGATTGGTTGGAAGATTACAGTGAAAGGTGGGTGGAGATGGGGAAGAAGCCCCAAGAGGCTGAACTGGCAGGCGGAAGTCAGTGTGTGTGTTGGGGGGCGCTGAGGATCCACTCTCTGCGTTCACCGTGAAGTGAAGTGCAGTAAAGGACCCAGCACAGGCTCAGCAGGGACCCTATAAAAAGCCCCGCCTCCTGGGGTCACCCTCAGTCTTCTCATCTGTCCCCTTCACAGCACAAGGCCAGCGCAGCCCGGGATGAGAGTGGTACTATGTTCACCAACTCTGCCAGGACAAAACCCTGACCTCTGCTCTCCTTTGGGCCCTGCTAAGGTAGGCAGTACGACATGCAGGATGCATGGCATGTGGCTTTGTTGGAGAAGTTTCTGATTGGTTTCTGAGTTGGGACACTTGGTCCTCTGTCAGAAGTAGGCATTGGACCATGCCGGAGGGGAAAAAAAATCTGTCTTTAGGACAAAGCACAGGGCTGAGTTCTGGGCCCAAGCTCCACAGGCATGAGGAGTGGGGGGCTGCTCAGCTTCCTGGGAAGGTGGTTTAGCTCCTCACAGCCCCTCCATACACGTGAGTCAAAGCACACACTGAAATGCAGGCAATGGCACTTATTTCGAGAGCTCTGTCTGATGTTGGGGGGATCTAGGGTGACCTCTGGCCACACTTTTTATTACTGGGGAAAGAGGAGCTTTAGGTTGCCCTGAAGACTAGATTAACTGCATGGACTATCAAAAATTACTATGTACATAATGGAGTCCCAATAAAAACTCCAAGGTCCAGGTCTGAGCAAATGTGACATCACACATGGAAACCAGGACAGGAATGCTGGCCCCACTCCACAGGATCAGGACAATGGGAGTTCTGAGTCTGGTAGTTTCCTGGACTCTCCCATGAGAAAGTCTTTCCATGGCGGAGCCTAAACATCAGCATCTTTCCCCCACTATAACAGGCCCTAGTCATGAGCATGACAGCTTCCAGAAAGTTCTGCGTGCCTCTCAAGCAGCTGAGCTCCATGGCACTTCTGGAAAACTGTACTTGTGAGCTGGGTCAGAAATGAGGATACATCCCCTCTTGTCTGCAGCTAATGTCTCACAGGGACACAATGACATCTCTGTCACAGGCTGGGTACAACCCTTCACTCTGCCTCTGTCCCACCAAGTCAGTCATTAATGGCCCCTCCTCCCATTGTAAGAGGGCCCTGCCAAGAGCATGACAGCTTCCAGAAAGTTCTGCATCTCTCTCAAGTAGCTGGGCTTTATGAAGCTGTGGTGCTCAGCTGGTAGACCACGTGATGCTGGCCTCACAGGTACGTGGTGAAGGCCAGGGGTCTTAGACGAACACCATTCTGACACTGCTTGTTCACCTCCACAACCAATCACTCATTCGTTCATGAATTCCCCCCACCCCCAAGACAGGGCCCCATTATGTAGCCCAGGCTGGCCTAAATCCTCAGTCCTCTTGAGGGATGGAGTTAGAGGTCTGTACAGCCATATACTGCTGAAAGACCATTCTGAAACCCGCTCTGCCTCAGCCAATGGGCACACTTGCTCAGCTAAGGTAGACTGAGTCTCCCTGCACCATACTCTCTGAGTACTGGGGATGGCACAGGCGACCCAGGAAAGCCCACACATATATATCAGAAGGTGTGTGTTGGGGGGTGTGTGTGGTGTGGCAGAGATCTGGGAGGAGGTGGTTTAAAGTGTAAACATCTGGCCAGATGTGGTGCCTGCTTGTAATGCCAGAACCTGGAAGGCAGAGATGAGGTTCACTGCATGTTCCAGGCCAGCCTGGTTTCCACAAGTTCCAGGCTGGCGGGGCTATAGAGTAGGCCCATGACTCAAACAAACAAACAAATGAACAAACCACAGGAGAAGAGGAACAGAAAGGATGGCAACAGTGGCCCCGAGTTCTGAGCATTTCCCACCATGTTTATTGCCTCAGGCCTCTCCACTTAATGTGTTTCCACCAGTTCATTCTCCTGTTAATGACATGTGCTATGAGTGACGCTCACTGCTGCTCAATCTGAAGGACACGGGGACTTTCCGTGTCCTTAAACTTGTCATCTTAAACTTTCCATCCCTCCAGCATGGCTCAGTGTGCCCAGTGGCTTGTCTGGACAGGCCAGGAGGGACCTCACCCGTGTCGTGTTATTAGGATGGCTGTACTGGGCATAATTCGGGTGACGAATACATCTCTCTGTGGTGATGACAATGGCGCCCCACGATGGCTATCAGTGCTACTCTAGCTAGTTTTACGACAGCTTAGGGGTTGTAAGCATGTGACAACGGGAGCAGAAAGGCCAGCCCCCACTTTCCTCTCCCAGCAAGAGGCATAAGCATTTGCTGAGGCATTTCTGTTTGCTCCGGCAAAGCAGCCTCCCTTGCAGGGAGGACAGAGAGAACCCGCAGGAGCCAGAAGAAGCTTCTTTCCCGCTACCTCTATCACAAAACCTTAGGGCCAATGTGAGGGCTGCCCAGCTCTTACATCACACCAGAGTCAAGGCGTAAATCCAGGCCCTCATGTATGTCTGGCAAGCTACACCCTCACTCAGCCTCAAGGCTCACTTTAGATCCTCCAGTTGACCTCAGGTCCTAAGCTATTGAGGCCGGAGGGCAGGATCCCATAGCAGTGTGTACGTCGTTAGACTACAGTAATGGACACATTTTAGGTGAGGAGGATCCATACAGTAGCAAAAATAACTTTCTTCCTTCTAACGAAGGGATAAAGTCTCCTAAGAGAGATGGGGACCAGGACGACTAATCATCATCTCCTCAGCTGGCCTGGAACATGGGTGGGAGGCTGAAGTAGGGGTGTAACAGGTTCAAGGCCAGCCTAGGCACCTGAGTGAGACCCCATCTCAAAATAAGATTTTAAAAAAAGAGGACTGGATGTATAATTCAGTAGAGCTCTTGCCTAGCATGCATGAGCTGTGGGTTCAATCCCTGAAGCACAGGGCACTTCACTCGTCTGATTCCTTCATTTTCAGGCACTCCCCCCCCCCCCCCCATGCACTGCCTCAGTCACGTGAACCCACCCTTCTCCCAGAACTTGACAGTGATTCAGTACCAGCAGCTGTCAGGGTGGTAGTCCCAAGAATTTGGTCCAGACACACGGCTCTGAGAAGGATATCATGGAGTTGGATGTCAAGCTCCCTAGGGTCCCCTCTCTCCCTCCTTTCTCTTTCATTTTTCGGGGCCTCATGTAGTGCAGGCTGACTTCACGTATTTATGGAGCAAGGATGACCTTGAACTTTTCCATCCTTCTGCCTCTACCGCTCAAGTACCGGGATTACGGGATTACGGGAGCACAAAACCATATGCAGTGCTGGAGATTAAATTCAGGGCTCTGCATATGTTAGGCAAGCACTCCACCAACCGAACTACTTCCTCAGCTCCTTCCTATTGCGATAGGAAGGAAACAGAATCAAATGGCTTTGACTCTCAGGTTAAGCTGCTAGTCAGTGACTCCAGTCTGCTCTGACCCTGACAATACTCTGTTGATATGCAGGGACTTAAAAAGGCACACACTGTTCTCTACATTCAGCCCTGGAAATCGCACATGCGTGTCAGTCAGGGCTGGCATTCCTTGCTGCCTCTGTTGGAAAAGGGGCAGAGGGGGCTCCTGTTTATTCATAGCCTGCTTTTCTTCTTGCTCCTCTGCTGGTGCCGTCAACTTTGGGGAGTCCTCTGAAACTCTGTCCCATTTGCAGGAGTTACCTGTTTGTTCCAGGGGTGCACTGGCTGACTGATGCGGGATTCCCCTTTGTATGCTGTGAATACCATTGGTTAATAAAGAAACTGTCTTGGCTTATGATAGGGTAAGGAGTAGAGCCAGGCGGGGAAAACTAAACTGAATGCTGGGAGAAGGAAGGCAGAGTTGAGAGACACCATGGAGCTGCCAGAGGAGAAAGACACAAGCCGCCAGCTGGAACCTTGCTGGTAGGGCACAAGCCTCATGGTAAAATATAAAATAATAGAAATGGGTTAATTTAATATGTAAGAGCTTGCTAGGATTATGCTATAGTGATTGGTGAATTAATTAATATGGTTTCTTTGTGATTATTTAGGGACTGAGCAGCCGGGAACAAATAAGTGCCCTCTTACAACAGCTGACTTCATTTTTTGTTTTTTTTTCAAATTTTTTTTTTTTAGATTTATCAGTTTCTTATGTTTATGAGCATTTTGTATGTCTGTGCACTACATGCATGCCTGGTGACTTCAGAGATCAGAAGAGGACATCAGATCTCCTGGAGCTGGAATTACAGAAGGCTGCGAGCCCCCATGTGGGTGCTGGGAATCGAACTTGGGTCCTCTGCAAGAGCAACAAGTGCTCTTAACCATGTAGTCATCTCTCCAACATCTGAGTATTCTTGAGAGGTAGTGGAGAGCAGGCAGTAAGGACCCAGGGCCTGGACTTAGAAGTCTGAGTTGGAATTTCAGGTCCTGTGCTAGTTACCACCAGTTCCTCCCCTACAAGAGGACAAAACACACGGCCCATATCTATTCCTAGGATTCTCATGAACACATACACGGTCAGGAGCACACAGAGGAAACTACAAACGTTTAAACATGCTAAGGACTGTTTTAAACATGGTATTCCTATCTGTCCTTAACTTTCACACTGACTTGAGGAAGACACTAGTCGTATGTTATAGATGAGGAAACTGAGGGACTTGCCTGCTTCACAGCTGAGAAGGAGAAGAACCAAGATAGCAACCCAATTAAATGGGTTCAAATTCCCTTGCTCATCAAGTTCTTTTGCTGTCAGCTGAATCCGGGGACCCAGTAGCCAGACACTAACCTGCTGGCCACATCCTCTTCGGTGCCCTTGTCTAATACGCTGCTCAGGTTATGCTCGGCCTGCGTCTCCTCAGGCACCTCCTCCAGCTCCTCCACCTGCCTCACAGACCGACGGTAGTTCTCCAGCTCGATCCTCTCAGGGGTGCCCCTCAGCCTCTTGGCGATGCTGGGCTCCTCCAGGCCATTCATGCTGGAACCTGTGGGGAAAGCAAACATGCAAGCTCTGAGAAGGAAGGGCAGAGCGAAACTCCAGCAGTGGATGACGGGAGCTGGTGCTGGAAGAGAGGGACTGTTGACCACTGGGACACTCATAACTCATTTCTCGGGAAAAGATACACAATCTTTCTGGAAGTCAGAACATGGGCGACTGAAAGCTGGAAGGGTTGTGGATTGGTTGGAGGCAGGAAATGATGATGGTAGGCGTGGCAATGCTTCCCTAAGTAGGAGACACAGAGACCGTCACACAGCCTCATCTGCTCCCGGTCAAGCCAAGATGGAAAGATACCATCTAACAGGTGATGGTAACGGGGTTGGGCGGTGAGGGTCTGTGCAGGGCCTTCAGGTGGGTCTCTCATCACCAGGGACTAAGAGAGTCACAGAGAGGGTGTCGTCCTTCTGGTGGCTCGCACCAAGATGGGCTGGCAGTACCCTGCAAAGGCGTCTTGCAGGCCTGCAGATTGCATAGCATCTGCCTTGTCCTGTCGCCATACATCTGAGAAATACTTGGTAGATCAAAGCAAGCCACAGAGGTGGTGCTGAGCCCTCTGCAGAGCTGCTCAGTGGAGAACGGAGTCGGGCTTGGCAGTGGGGGGGCGGGTGCACCCATTCCCCACGCGGGCACACAAGCACACGTTTCCTGTAAACAGTGATGAGGAGAGACTTAGAAATCGCACAGTGCTCTGCCCCGTCATTCTCTCTGAGCGTCTGTCAATGACCTTCGCTCGTCTGTTAGAATGACGGGGGTCACTGGGAGTTTTTTTTTTTTTTTAATTCTACCATTCCTATAGCATATCTTGCTTTTGAACAATACTATAGATTCGCCGTGTTTCTAAAACTTAAAACATCACATACAAAGCACCCATGTCTCTTCCGTCTCCTTCAAGCCACAGGAGGTGCTCTGGGTCCTGTCTCACCAGCACTCTTTAGCGTCCCAGTTCTGGTCAGAGCCCCTCGTGTACTCTGTAGTGTGCCTGCTGTGTCTTGACACCACACAGGTCCACTCGGGTAAACCCAGCTCTGACCCCGACTCCACCAGTGCCTGGCAGCATTGGAACACGGTCCAAGACTGGAGTTGTCTGAGGAAAAATTTGAATGCTTGTGAGAAAATGCCAGCTAGACAACATGAGGGTCTGAGACCTGTTTCTTCAAGGCAAGGAACTGTGCTTAGAATGTGTTTTCGTGCTCCTCCCAAGTGTGGCTGATGGGGGGGGGGGGGAGTTTACTCCCGATTATTCATTACAGCTGGCCATTGTTATTTCTTTATATGCGTCTATGGAAAAACATGTTTTTCTTGTCCTTGTGATTGCATGTATGCAGCCTGAGCTCACGAGAACTTCCTCATACAAACGGTGTTCTGAATAAAGTTGTCTATTACATGAGACTTTAGTCTGCCTCATTGTTAGGCTCCACCCTCTCAGGTTCCACCATTTCGAGAGTGGTGAACATGGCAGACAGATCTTAGGAAAACTACAGTCTTCCTGAAGTCATACCCTGGCCTGTGGGCAGGATGATGCCTGCCTCCCAGGACTGGTATGGGTGTGACGGTGCCAACTCTGGATCCCAGGCCTATCTATCGGTTATCTTCTTCACCCACAAAGCAGAACTCAGCAAATACAAGTGAAGCCGCATACCCAATGTCCAGCAGCATTCACGCATCCCTGCGGTGTGTACTCACACACGGGAGTTGATGTCCATTTACTCTGGACTGTAAACTCAGTCACCCAACACGGGAAGAAGTGGCAGCCCTGGGCTCATTGCACACACACTTGGGCTTTGAGATACAAAGCGACAGAGAAGAGGTAGGCGCAGGCCAGCAAAGCAGGCAAAGCAGTTTTCACAGCCTCCTGATGACCTGAGTTCAACTCCAGAATACGTGCGGAGGCGGAAGGAGAAGATCAATTCCACAAAGTTGTCCTTTGACCTCGGTATGTGCACTGTGGCAGAAACCTTACATCGTACACACACACAACAACAATAAATGAAGTTGGTTTTTGCTTTTAAAAAGAAAAGACAGAGCCCAGGTGAGAGAGGGTCAGGAATGAGCCACAGGTTCTGACGAGGGGAGGTCCCTGGCTGCCACCGCATTCTAAGCACCAACAGATAACACTGGAGTTTTGCCTGTGATGCCACACCAACCCAACTTGGGAGGCAGGTGTCTTCTCAGGCAGACCTTAAAGAGTTTAGCAGTTCTGGTATCCTGACTAGTTGTACAGGAAATCCTTTGAGGGCTGGCACTTCTGCTGTGTACAGTTTTTTGTTGTTGAGACAAGATCTCGAGCCCAGGCTGGCTTCAAATTCACTATAGCCAAGGACGATTCTCCTGCCTCCCAAGTGCTGGGATTAAAGGCGTTTGCCACCCATACCTGGCTCAATACTGGGAGAATGAATGCAGGGCCTCATGCATGGCGGGCAAGAACGGACCTACAGCCCCAGTCTGTAAGAGTTTTCAACCCTTGCCACAGCACGGGAGGTTTTCTATGAACACAGGAAGTACAGGATTTGGTCAGCGCACCTGCCGCAAGCTCCAGGCTCTTCAACAGCAGCAGCTTCCAAGGTGATGCTCAGTCTGTTGACCCAGGCAAGAGGATGTGGATGGGCTCTGACCGCGCATCCTGGGTTTACCTCTCTACATCCTCTCACCCTCAGATGCATCGTTTTAAATACCCTGCTCCATGTTTCACAGCCTCGAAAGTACAAGTTACGCCCATGGCTGCATGAGTGTGTCTGGGAGCTAAGAGCACAGTCTACAAGAGATGGCCAGGCAGCCAAGCAAGTAGAACCTCCTCATTCTCCAAAGGAAAGCGGCTGCCCAGGCCTCAAGAGGGTCGTGTCCTGGGTATTCAGGGAAGGTCTGCTGAAGGACTGTTAGAGCCAAGCAGCTTTAGGAAACCCACTGCGAGACTGGCATTACAATTCATAAACCAGGTGTCTGAGGTCTGCCGACTCCTCGGTGCCTGGGGTCACACAGCCTGGATGAAATGAGAACTGAACTTCAGGAGGGCAGTGACAACTCAAGTGACCACCATGCTGTCCCTGGACTTGGAACACAAGGAGAAGACACTCGCAAAGTCCGAATCCTCTCTCCCTTTCGAGGCTTCCCTGTACTGTTCCCCTGTGGTTCTCTACATGAGACAATGCCTTACAACAGAGAAGCTGGAGCCTGCCTGGGCTACCTTGTGAGACCCTGCTGCAAACAAAACAAAGCAAGCAAGTAAACAAACAAACTAAAATCAAAGCAGGCTGGAGGGATGTAAAGGGTTGGGACTGCAGCACAGCTGGAAGACAGCTGGCTGAGCATTCATGAGGCCCCAGGGCTCAATCCCAAGCACCACAAAAACCAAGTGTGCTAGCAGACCAGAAATTCAAGGTAATTCTTGGCTGCACAGGGAGCTCAGGCTGGCCTGGGCCAGAGACCCTGCCTCAAAATCAACCAACGAACCCATCCACCCATCCAGCAACAATAAGAGCAGTGCCACCTCTGCCTAGTGCCACTCACTGAGTTCTAGCTCACCAGAGCTTTTCGCGACAAGGGACTACTTAGGCAGGGAATCCCCAGTTCTGGGTCTCCCGGAGGCTCAGTTTTCCCAGAGGGAAGATGACATTCTGAGTATATTGGTAGGTACCCAACCCTCTCAAAATGCCAAAGTAGGGGGTGCACACATCCAGCCTACAACCTTAATGAGCTTCAGTACACACAGTGGGATGAACCAAGGAGATGAGCATCCTTGATTCTTCGTACTGACCAAGGAGCTACCGGACAGACGGACGGTGAAGACGTATGCAAGGAACGAAAAAGTGGAGCGGTGGAGGCCTTTGTGGTGACGGTGACACCGTCACGACCCTAGCGCATCCCCTCCCATGAGCACAGATGAGTTCCTGGGAGAAAGAGCTGTGAGAGACAAGGAGTGAGAATTGCCAGCACCAGTGCAGTCTCAACCCTGGCACTGAAAATGCCTCCAAGCTTGCCAGTCACTTAGGCCGAGGCAGTAGGATTGTGTGGGCCAGGAGTGCCAGTGTAACACATGGAGACTGTCTAAACAAGCAAACAAATGTAAGGCTGGCAGGAGTTGGTCTGAGAAGGTAAGGCATGGCTTGTCCTCGTCAGGAGAGCTTGACCACCTGCCCTTGACATCACATGCTTCTTAAGAGTGGCCACCATGCAGGGACTTTCCAGCTAAAAGTGTAATGAAAGACCTGGAACCAGTTCCAAGGCTGATTCGTCTCTAAGTCGGGACAGGCTGATCTCAGGTCACCAGGAGGCCAATTACAGCCTCATGCATACCAAAAGGAAAGAGCTCCCAGGATTTGGTCGCATCCTAAATAGGAAAAAGGTCCCCGGCCTGACCTGAGGCTCTGTTTTGGAACAGTCACCGCCTGCAGGAGCTCCATACATCATCCCCAAAGCAGCCTTGCTAACAGGACACCCTACGCTCAGCTGACACGAAGGAGCTGCCAGCATCCTCTATTTGTAGCTGTCTGAATCACAGAGTGCGAGGGATGCAGACAGGCTTCAGCGTGGTGTTCCCAGGGCCTCAGCGGCACCTGCTCTCCTGCCCTGCCCCCACCCTGGCCTTCCTGCAGTGCTGGTGGGGGGGGGGGGAGCGGGTTCTAGGCACCTGTGGGTACCACACAAGCCCTCTGGAGGCCTTCTCTTCCTTTGTCCTGAATTCATGTTTGGCTTGTTTCCCCAGTTCCTTTTTCCCTCTAATAAAACTTTACCAATACTCCATTAACAACTACACCTATTTATGGTATGATCTCTCTTTGTTTACATATAAACAAAGTGTAATTTCCACCTTCTCCAACATTTTTTCTGTGTACTGGGGCCTTTTGGACCCCTTTCTTCTAGTTTTTTTTTTTTTTTTTTGGTTTTTCGAGACAGGGTTTCTCTGTGGTTTTGGAGCCTGTCCTGGAACTAGCTCTTGTAGACCAGGCTGACCTCGAACTCACAGAGATCCGCCTACCTTTGCCTCCCCGA